GCAAGTAGAGTAGGGGCATAATGGGATGAGAGCTGAGGAAGCGTTGTTCTAAGTCAGCCATAAAAAAGTTGGCATATTGAGGGGCCATGCGGGTACCCATAGCAGTCCCACTGATACTTGAAGGTATAAATTGTCCCCAAATCTGAAGTAGTTGTGGATGAGGACAAAGTCACAAAGTTCAGCCACCAGGTTTGCCGTGATGGTATTGGGGATGCTATTCCTGATGTCTTGCAGTCCATCTTTGTGTGGAACGTTAGTGTAGAGGGCTTCTACATCCATAGTGGCTAGGATGGTGTTTTCTGGAAGATCATCAAGGGATTGTAGTTTCCTCAGGAAGTCAGTGGTGTCTCGGAGATAGCTGGGAGTGCTGGTATCATAGGGCCTGAGGAGAGAGTCCTGAACGTCATGAAATGCATCCATGAGCATAGCCAAACAAAGGATAGAAAAGAGTGGAAGCCAGTACGCAACCTTGTTTGGAGTTGTTGGTGTCAGGAAAGGGATTTGATGGTGACTGGCACATCAGGTGCGAGCTCATTCCAAGGCCCCGGGTCTCACTGAACACTTACAAATGCAGAGCTGGAAACCAGTCTTGCTTACCTGTGTGTTAGTGTAATCAAAATAGATAATAGACCTTAAGTTGAAAAGAGTGTGTTTAGTGTTTAGACTTTTATATGATGCTTGTAGGACACTGCATGTATTGATCTCTTATAACCTCTGTAGCCCATGGTATAAAGTTACATTGAGTGTTTGCATTGTAAACCTCTGTAATTGGGTACAAACTCGCCAAACAAAAAGCATTAATTAAGGTAAAGTGCTTGTCCTGCATACCAGATGTCCCATTGAAGGCAACTGAGGTATTGTATAGCATCAAAGGACAGAAGCCCTGTTGACTGACTGCACTGCTAACTCCATCCAGGAAGGAGAGACCTATGCATGAACTCATCTCATCAGTTTTAGCTCTGGAGTGGAGGGGATAAAAATCGCTGACAAGGAGAAACTGAATCTCTTCTATGCTGTCTGGACTATGAGGAGGAAAGATTCCTAAACATAAGCAAAGAGACCCCCGTACAGCTTGGTATGGTTTAGCCCTGAAAGATATTTTGAATTGAGATGACTACAACAGTCACCTTTTGAATTACAGACTGAAACTCATTTGCGTATATATGCTTGCTTGCTTTAACATGTAAATAACTCTCATTTCTTTTTCCTAGTTAATAAACCTTTAGTTAGCTTAGTACAGGATTGGCTATAAGCATTGTCTTTGGTGTGAGATCTAAGGTACAAATTGACCTGGGGTAAGTGACTGGTTCCTTGAGACTGGGAGTAGCCTGAATATTGTGATCTTTGGTGTAAGTGATCATTTATCACATAGTCTAGCTTTCCTGGGTGGCAAGATAGACTGGAGTGTCCAAGGGGACTGTCTGTGACTCCATTATAAGACTATTATAGTACTTTGGGATTTCACATTTGTTACCAGATAGGTGAAATCTAATTCTAGAACATACAACCAAGTTGGGGTATCTGTCCTGCTTTTTGACAGTCTGCCCTGAGCATGGCGCACTTGATTGTGAGCCACTCCAGGCAATGTGACACATATCTTACCATTTTCCACTATTCTGGCTCTCATCTCATCATGGAAGGACTAAATGACAGAAAGGAACATTAGAGGGCATCCAGAGATGAGCAAAAGACACCAGCGTCCTTCATGATTTACAGAGTCAAAAACTTTAGTGAAGTTGACGACCACCATAAAAAGATCACATCTTTGCTCCAAATGGATGGACAGTTTTTTTTTTTTAAGTTTACTTCTCAGTCATGCTTCCAACATTTCCAGGAAAGCAGTTAATCCTCTTCTACAATGCCCATTACAAGCAGAGCTTGCACTAGTCCCCTATTTTATGAGACAATAACAGCAGTCAAGCAGGGATGTCACAAGGAAAAGCACCTGCATCAGGTGACAGTCCAGCAGAGATCTGTAAGCAGGGTGACTACCATACTGCAAGACATCTAACATGGCTCTTCCACATTATCTGGGAGCAAGAATCAGTGCCACTGGACTTCAAGGATGCTGAAGTTGTCTGCCTCTATAAACGTAATGGTGATAAGGAAAACTGCGGTAATCATTATGCATTTCCCTACACTGTGTTGTGGGGGAAAATTCTTGCACAACTCATAATGGGTAGACTTAACACCGTCTGACTCTCAATGTGGATTTTGGTCTGGTCAGGGCACTGTAGACATGAGATTTGTACTTAAAGCAAAAATTTCCTCTTTCTTTAATGATTACACTTAGTTTCCAAGTTTGACACAGTGACTCTTTTCTTTGTAGCTCTTTTAGTATAATATTTACTGACTTCTGCAGAGGAAACTGATTTTAGAAATGCTCCCTTGTTGAAATGTTGCTGTGTTCCTCAGGCTTCTGTGGGTTCCTCTCACTAACCACTGTCCCAGACTACTTAGAAAATTGCTCTGATGACATCTGACACAAGCTGCTGTTGCACTTTTAAAATGAAACACAAGTTATTTCCTCGTTTTGGAATATTGACCAGAACTATGCAAATATTAGCTGAGGGAGCTGCTCAGATTTATCAGCTACTGCTGTTTCCTGACGCTGCCTGCCAGCCTGCCTCCCTTCTGTTTGCTCTGCTCAGCACAAAGCGCCTTGGGAGGCAGGCTGGGTAGTGGGGATGGGAGAAGTGGGCTCCAAAGGAGAGATGGAGCTCTGCATGAGTGGGACTCTGGCATGGTGGATTGACTGGGGCTTTAGGGTCACACAGGGTTTCTGCAGTGCAGTGTGGGGGAGGAGTACAGGGAGATCCCGGTGATTCAGCACAGAGACATTAGCACACCAAGATCATGCTGTAGTACTAGTAACTTGGTGCACTGGAGAATTGAGATTGCATCACTGAATACCCTTCACCTGCTGACATCTTGGCAGAGAAGCACTGGGCTATCCCCACCTCAGGCTGCATGCACAATCCTAATCATCCATCCTTTCTCCATCCCATCCACACTGGTCCCTTCTGCCTCCTCCCTCATGCCAGTTGCAGCTACACATTTATAGCAGGGAGTGAAGAAATGCAGTAACACAACATGAAGATTGGGTTACATTTAAGAGGGACAGATCAGTTGAGACATGTCCATTTTACATTAACAGGTTTACTTGTGGCACCTTAGAGACTAACCAATTTATTTGAGCATGAGCTTAGCTCACGAAAGCTCATGCTCAAATAAATTGGTTAGTCTCTAAGGTGCCACAAGTACTCCTTTTCTTTTTGCGAATACAGACTAACACGGCTGTTACTCTGAAACCTGTCATTAACAGGTTTCTCTGTCTTGTTTGGGGAAAAAAAAACTGATAAAAAGACAATTGGATGGATGTTCTGGTATGCTCTGTGTGCTTCACTGATCTGAGCAGATGAGGGCTACAATCCCATTATTACCAGTTCTCACAATATTTGATGTCTCTGAAAGCACCAGCTCCTGCAGATACATGATTGTGTGAATCTCAACTTGGTGGGCATTTTATTTAAAATGTCTAGTTCTTGTAGTTTGGGAGGAGAAGCTTGAAAATGTGACTTCTAAGGGCTTGGAAAGCAAATAGAGTCAAAATAGTTAGATATGCTTTTTCAAAGTCACTTTTAAAGTTAATCATTATTTCTTTTTCTGGGGTGGAGGTGCTGATTCATGATTTTTGAATGTTTGGGGTTGCATTACTGTCAGCCTTTTACCTTTTGAAAATGTAACCGTGTATATGTTCACAGTTCCCTGCTGTTGCTGACGATCTTCTCTTTTATCCTCTGCCTCTCTTCCCTCCTCCCCACCATTATTTGGAAACTGTAGAATAGACTGTAGCTTTCGTGAGCTACAGCTTATGCACAAATAAATTGGTTAGTCTTTAAGGTGCCACAAGTACTCCTTTTAAATTAAAAAGTAAATGAGAAACTTCTAGTAACCTCTAAAGTAGCACCTATCAATCTATATTGAGGAATAAGTGTTTGATTTTGACTGAGTTAAAATTATACTAATACTTTTGGTATTTGGTCACTAACTCCAAGTGCTACTTCTAGAAGTACCAGTTTCACAAAAAAAGAGGGGATTGACCATTTTAAAATGAAAGCAGACTGAAGGGTTTAAAAATAGTCCCTCCCTCAGATTTAATAAATGAAGGGGGAGAAGGAAATGGACTGAAGTTTAAAATTGAAGTTAGAAAAAGAAGTGAAGTCCATTACACTCAGGACAAGGAAAGATAACTTTCTTGGTCTCTTACTTGTATGCGACTAAAAACTAGGTGACTCCTCGGAGTCCAAACTTTCGTAAATCTGTATTTTAAAATCACTTAAACATTATTTTGAATGTATAGAGAGAGGTACAAAGGGTGGATTACTCCTTAAAAGAAGAGGGGTGGTGTTTTTGAAGTGGCCTAGAAGCCAGATTTTAGGGGCATTTAGGTGCCTGAAGATGCAGATAAGTGCCTAGTGGGATTTTCAGAAGCGGTCTCTTTGGGTACCTAAATACCATTTGAAAATCTGGCTCAAACTAATTTAAGTACTTTTGAAAATTTTACACATTGTCCTTAACCGCTTCTCACTAAAACACCTACTGTAGTTCTTTTTACACTTGGCTATTTGGTATTGAGGAGCTGGGTATCTTAAATTAAAAACAGGTTTCAGAGTAACAGCTGTGTTAGTATGTATTCGCAAAAAGAAAAGGAGTACTTGTGGCACCTTAGAGACTAACCAATTTATTTGAGCATAAGCTTTCGTGAGCTACAGCTTATGCACAAATAAATTGGTTAGTCTCTAAGGTGCCACAAGACTCCTTTTAAATTAAAAAGTAAATGAGAAACTTCTAGTAACCTCTAAAGTAGCACCTATCAATCTATATTGAGGAATAAGTGTTTGATTTTGACTGAGTTAAAATTATACTAATACTTTTTGTCTGAAGACTCTTGAACCTCAGCATTGTAGCTCTCATCTATAAATGTTTTTGTTTTACAGGGGCCAGCTACCTGTGTTGCCTTCTCAAGAACTGGGGACTTTTTTGCTTCTGGAGGGTCAGATGAACAGGTGTGTGATGTATCTGCCTAATCTGACATCTCTAAACTCTGTTTTGTAGATTCTTGATGTAACTGAGTGAACAGAAAATGTGTCTAATTATGATGCAGAAAAATCAAGTGTGTTTGGAACTATGTAGTTTGGGGAGGAGGGGATAAATTAGCATGACCCTTTAAGATAATCGCATTTGAAAATTGGCTAAAATTGAGAAAGTTATATGTCTAAGGTTAGGGAATGAAATTATAGATGGAGTATCTCCTCTGGAGCATGTGTAAGGTGAATCAAGATATAAGAGGAAATAGAAGAAAATAATCCAATAGAATATAGTTACTACATACAGGAGAAGTTTTTGAGTGCCCAGACAATCGGCACTTTACTGTAAATCACCTTTCCACTCAAGGTAAAGAGCTCTCTATACACTAAGTATCACGCCAAGAGGTAGGTCAATATTATACCCATTCCTCATGGATAAACTGAAGCAGAGGAAGGGTTATTATTCAAACAGTTTGAGAAGGCTTGCAGGGGTGAAATTCTGGCTCTGTTAAAGTTTTGCTATTGCCTTCAGTGGGATATCACTCTCATTTTCCTCTGACCGCTCGAGAGATTGAGTAGGCAGGCATTTGTGGTGGGGCGAGGTGACAGTTGTTATGCAGGTTTTCATTCTCTGATGTTCTTTGTGTTGGTCTATATTCCTTATTAATGTTCCTTTATAATAGCTTCTGATTATTTTCCTCCCTGTTGTCTATATGAGGCTTATATCAATATTTAAGCCCCATGTATCTGAATCCCTTTGAATTGGCTTGCTTTCTTCCTTACTTGCTTTCTTCAATGTTATCCTCTTAAGGAAAAAAAAATTCTACCCTCAACTCATGACATAGTTTCTGTCCCATCCCCTCTTCTCCCCCCTCCCATTTCTCCCCCGCCCCCTGAAGCACTGCTAGGAAATGGAACATGTCTTTTTGTAAAGGTTACTTTACTACTTCAATAAGATGTTTTTTCTTTTTAGCCTTTAAACAGCATCTTTTGAGATGCTGATCCGATTATTTGCCCCCCTTTTTCTTGCATTGTTAAATAATAAGGGGTAATTTTGTTAAGGTTTTACTTGTAGTTTTGCTTTTGAAATAATTACCTAACTCTTTGTGTTTATAAAGAGATTAATAGAAATAGCAGGATGGCTGTAGTGTGGCTTTTCTGCTAATATTGATTTTTTTTCTGAAGAAGCTGGGGTGTTATTGAAAGCTGTAGTAATGATACACTTCAAAAATAGTAACCATATGAAAATATTGTTATATAATCATTAAAAAACATTCATAACTTTTGAGATGTCTGTAAGTGACTTTTTTAACACATCTCAATTTCCAATTTAAAGTAATATGAAGAAAGTGGACAGTATTAGCTATTTTTCTCTCCATTACATAACTGGATGACTTGTGTGGTAACCTGGATATGTGGTGGTTTTTTCCCTTTAATTGTAAGTTGCAAAGGTTTCTTGGATTCCTTTATTTGGTTTTGAATTTGTATATTTTTTCATATGAGGCAATCACTGTTGTATCTGGCAGCTAGTCCTTTTTTTCTCAGAGATGACATTTCTCATGTCTAGAAATATCTCTTGCTACTGGTAAGCTGGGAAACCAAATTATAATACTTGATCTTTTCTTTTTTTCCAAAGGGTCCTACTCATCTAGCTTTTCTGGTATAACTCCCAGTTTTATACCTTTTTTGAAAAATCCTCCCTTTTGGCTGTAATTTTCTGTACTTAATATCAGCCCAGAGGTGAATTTGTGAGTGTCTGTGTGTGCATGTGCAAAACTTTAATGCAAGGAGGAAGAAATAACTCTTAAACTGTGTATATTTAAAGTCTTCTGCACACTTCTGTTATGAATGTGTTTAATAAAAATTTCCTCTAAGGTTAGAATTAAAATGCTATTTATGGAAGTTAAATACATAATGTCTATAGCCTGATCCTGCAAAGTTTTATACGCATTCTTGACTTTATGCATTGAGTTATTCTGTGTGTAAAATTAAACCTGGGTATAAGTCTTTTGGGGGTTTCAGGTTATACACAAAGGTGTCTTTCTATTTTGGCTCCTGTTTCACAATTGCATGATCAGTTTCTGTAACTATGGAAGTATAATGTGAAATACAATTAATATTTCTAAAAACATGGAAATAAAACTGTGAACAGCTTTTTACACCACAAATACTTTTGTATTCAATTAGTTGCTAAAATAAACTCCATAAACGTTAAATCCTACAAATATTTAATGTCCTTTTATTTGTTGAATAGCTTAAAATATTTTAAACACGTACCAACTTAAATAGGAATCCTAGTTCCATGGGATACTCGACCCAAGGGAGGTCAGAAAAGGCCATTATCTTTTGAGAACTCAAACGATGGGCTTGTCCACACAAACAATTTTGCAGTTTGCTGGGTGTGACTCTACTTCTCACTAGCCTGCTGTGGACTGACTGAACATGTGGCTGTTACTGATGCATGTTAACACGTGTTGATCTAATCCCGTTTCAGAGAGGAGTAGATCAAAGCACATTAACATATTGTTAATGCGCATCAGTAGGGTCCATACAGACAGGCTAGTCCATGGCACACTAGTTGTGGGATAGATTCACGCCCCAGCTTGCAGCAAATTAAATGTTTATGTAGACAAGCCCTATGCAACTTGTCTGTTGAATAACATCTTCCTGATGTTGCCAAAGCCTATTATATTGCTCTTTGCTGGCAAAGCTTTCCTCTCAGAACTCTGGGTGTGCTGACACTTTTCCAGACTGCCAGGAAAATTAATGTATATGTGTAAATTGAGGTTTTAGAAAGGATTATTTTTAGTCAGCTGGTTTTTATTCTGCAGGTGATGGTATGGAAAACTAACGTTGATGCTGCTGATTATGGAGATGTATTGAAAACTCAGAAGTATGCCACTAATGTAACAGGAACTCTTCACAATCTGGTACGTCAGACCATCTTACATTTAACATTGATGATTATTGTTGACGTTTTGACTTCCCTAGTTTACCTACCTATACAATATATTTGAGAGGAGACACTAGTTTTTCTTTGAAGCTTTGTGGGGAGAGCTATCTTCTCTCTTCCCTACCAGCTGATCTCCCTGTTTCAAGTCATTACCAGGTGAAGCTAAATTCTAATCAAGTGCCCTAACAATAACTCTTCAGAGGACACTCTTGAAATCTGTGTGAGCACCGCTCACTGATATTCTTTCTAACACTTTTTTAGCTTTTGCGTAGATTGTGAGCCAGCTATTTCCCTTTTCAATGAGAAAACTCAGAGGATATTTAATGAGCATTACCTACACCTTACAAAGTGTCTGGCTGTATTTCAGGCTGCAGAGTCGTCATCTTCTCCAGCATTAACTTAAGTTGCATAAAGTCTGTTTTATTGATGAGACTGGTATTGTTTCTGATTACCCCATAAAAAGTGCAATTAAAGAACTGGATGAGTAATATGGCCTTAGAGAAAGGGGAATATATAAGCAATACTTCAATAGAATTGCTCTTAAAGATACAGTTACCATGTGGATAATGTTTCATTTAAAAGAAAACAAAACAGCAGCAACCGAAGTCTAGTCTTAGAAAAATATGAATAAATCGATTTGGCTTGTGGCAGAATTGTAATAAGAACAGAAGAAAGACCATGCTGGAGCAGACCAGTGGCCCTTCTAGTTCAGTAGCCTGTCTTCCCATAGTAACCGGTGCCAGATACTTTAGAGGGAGTGCAGAGAACAGGTCAATTTATCAAGTGGTCCATCCGCTATCATTCAGTCACAGCTTTTGGCAGTCAGACTTAGGGACACCAAGAGCATGGGACTGGGTCCCTGACCATGTTGGCTAATATCCACTAATGGACCTATCCTCCATGAACTTATCTAAATCTTTTTTGAACCCAGTTATGTTTTTGGCCGTTGTGACGTCCCCTGGCATCGAGTTCCACAGGTTGACTGTGCATTATGTGAAGAACTAGTACTTTGTTTGTTTTAAGCCTACTGCCTATTAATTTAATTGAATGACCCCTGCTTCTTGTTTTATATGAAGCTGCAAATAACACTTTTTTCCTCACACTGCTCATAATTTTAGAGACATCTATCATATCCCCCCTTAGCTGTCACTTTACGAAATGAACTAGGTGATTTTAGACTATTAATAATCTTCCCTAATTTCAGATGGCCTACCACCCCCCAACCCTGCTGCCCTTTCACACATTAAAAGCAGTGTGTCACTGCAAAAGAAGCAGGCGTACCAGGCAGAACCTCTCCTCTCTTTACTCAGCCCTCTCTCCCCCCACCTCCTCTCCCTCCCTGAAGTTCCAATGGCCACTGGTTGTGCTGGCCGTTGTTGTGTGCATGCTTGCGTCTGGAAGATCAGCTCTTCACTCCATGTTAAGAGGAGTTGCAGTCACTTTGGTTCCTTTCTTTCTCAGAGACAGTGGAGACTTCTTTGCTCGACTGGACAGAGGAGCAGGGGGAAGCAACACTTCCAAGGAAAGCAGCATAACCTATCTGTCAAAGTTGCTGCATTCCAAAAGTATTAAACCAGTGAAAATTGCATATACTGGCGTGAAGCATAACTAGATGCAGAGTGAAGTTTTAGTGTGAGGCCTTGTGACAGGGAAACTTTTAAGAAAAATATTACACCATTGCAACATGTGGGAAGAACTGTGGGAGCACTGGCATGGTGTTTAACCACAGTGTCTTCTAGACTTGCTGTGACCATGGTTAGGAGACATCTTGGTTAAAAACACTCGGGTGCCTTTCCATGCTAGCACTACTGCTGGTGGAACTGCATGAGGGTTAGCAAGAGTGGAAGTTAAGAAAAACACTAGTTGACACAGTCTGAGAATGGATAGTCCATTAAAACAATTCAGGACTTCCATGCCACATCTCTGTGATCTCAGCCTTAGTAGAAATTCTCCTGTATCATGGGAATTGGTTAAAATATGTTCTAGCATTGCATGTGGATGAGAGACAGCTCTGATCCTCAGCAGAACAGTGGACCTTAGGATAAATCTTGGCCCCATTGAAATCAGTAGCAAAACCCCCTTGACTACAGTGGTTACAGGATTGCACTCATGGTCTTCAGGATTGTCACTGTTCTTACCATGCGTATAACAATCATACTGTGAACAGGTGAATTGCAACATGGTTATAAATATAGTGAAGGCAGGACCTACGCAAGTGCTTTATCAGTGGATTTGCTACACGTAATCAAAATTATGGTCTTGTCCTTTTTCGTTTCAAAACAAAAACGCTCAACAGCCTCAGTTTTCAGTATCCTGATATACATTGGGTTACAAAGAATATTTCATTTTAAGAATCCATAGTTCTCCTATTACAGGTTGGACTGTAAGAGGATGAGATAAACACATTTTTCCTTGCGAAGAGCCCAAGCACTGATTTAAATTCCATAGGTTGTCTAGCTTTAAAATTGATGTGAAATGGTCTGTAAAGCATAGCAGGTATGGTTGTTGAAAAGAGGTTAATGATTCTGGAGGTGGTTTGATTTATTATTTTAAGTGATTGTAAATAGCTTGAACACGGAGCCCTTGTTTCCATAACATTGCACTTGCACATCAGTTTGACGACTTCTTATCCTTAAAAGCTATTTTTGGATAATACTCTCTTTAAAGGTAAAATCTGTTTGTTTTTGGTTTTTTTTAAAGCACTTTCTTATAACTCCAGTTTGTTGCAAGCATTAAAACTGAGATATGTTCAGCCTTCTTTATATATAAGGGCTGTGTTTTGTCTCAGGCAAGCTAGAGTGGTTTAAAAACAAGATATTTCTGCAGATAAATTTTGTTATGATTTTGAGAACTTATAGTTTCCTTCCTCCCCTTATCCTTGTGCTCAACCCACCTCTCAAAAAATTTACAAAATCAAACTTTAAAACTGCAGTTTTTGTTTTTCTTGTAAGTAGCTTTTGATTTCCCAATTAAGAACAATAACTTCACCCACTAAAAAGGGAAGCTGCTTAATCTTTTCCACCACTGCTGCATGACTGTACTAAAACTTTTGTTTTTTTAAAAAAGGCTGTCTGCAGAACCCTTTAACTTTGTTACTGAGTTATCCCTTCAAGGGCTATTGTCAATTATTCCTTACCAATACTGCCGATACACTTAGGCATTATACTTTAGTACTTCCTGTGTCATTTTGCCTTTCACCTAAATCAATAAATGTTTCCTAATGAGAGTTTGTGCTACAAAGTCCTGCTACTTTATTAAGCATTGTATACTGACCAAAGTAGAGGTAATGTAAACAAAAACAGAACATGTAATGCCAGATAGCTCTTCTGGCAGCCTCCTTGAGAGAGGAGAAGCAGGTTAGCACGAGTGATGGATTTAAGAAGAAATGAGTGATTGCATGTTAAGTTATACATGACTCTTCTATCTTCCGACTACTCTTTGCAACAGACTACTTGAGATCAAACTGGCCTGACATTGCATCGTGGTGGTGGACACAAAACAGAACTTGATCTAAAAATGACTTCCCTTCTGATCCTGGGAGTAGGGGAGGAATAAAATTGCTGTATCCTTTATGAGATATCAGCTAGTTGATCCAGACTTTAGGGACCTTGGCTATAAAGGAAGGATGGGCTTCACCTAAATCAAAATGTAACCTGATTGCTGGCATGTAAAATTAAAAAGGTTGTAGAGGATTTTTTAAACTAAGGGCTGGGGAAAAGCCAACGGGTGCAGACGAGCACATGGTTCAGACAGACACATCCCCGAGGGGAGAATCTATTAATGGGGATTTTCTATATTCTAGCAAAAAGGAGAGAGTAGAATTTGATAAAGTACAGGTAGGAATTGAAGATAAACAGTCTAAAAGAGAATCCCATTCAATTACATCACATGAAAGCAGACAACTAAATGTTGATGATAAATTTCGTAAGTGCCTGGTGTACAAATGCTGGAAGTCTAAATATTAAGATAGGTGAATTTGAGTGCCTGGTATTAATGAGGATATTGATAGACATCACAGAAATTTGGTAGAACAATGTTAATCAATGGGACACGGTACTATCTGGGTACAAAAAATACAGGAATGACAGAGTAAGTTGTGCTGGTGAAGAAGTGGCACTGTCTGTGAGAGAAAGTATAGAGTTAAATGTAGGAAAAATCTTAAATGAATCAAACTGTACCATAGAATCTCTATGGATAGAAATTCCATGTTTGAATAGTAAGAGCATAGTAGTAGGAATATACTACCGACCACCTGACGAGGATGATGGTGGTTTTAAAATTCTCGGGGAGCTTGGAGAGGCTATAAAAATAGAAAACTCAGTAATAATGGGAGATTTCAACTATCACCATATTGACTGGGTACCTCAGGATCGGTTGTAGATATAAAATTTCTAGACACCATTAATGACTACTTCTTGGAACAGCTAGTCCTGGAACCCACAAGGGGAGATACAATTCTTGATTTAGTCCTAAATGGCACACAGGATCTGGTCCAAGAGGTACATATAGCTGAACCGCTCAGTAATAGTGACCATAATGCAGTTAATTTTAACGTCCTTCAAGGGGGGGTGGAGACCAAAGAAGCCCGCCACAGTAGTATTTACTTGAAAAAGGGGAAGTACACAAAAATGAGGAAGCTAATTAAATTGAAATTAAAAGGAACAGTCATGAGTGAAATGTCTGCAGACTACATGGAAACATTTTAAAAATACCATTATAGAGGCTCAAATTAAATCTATATCCCAAATTAAAAAATATTAAGAGGGCCAAAAAAATGCCACCAAGGCTAAACAGAGTTAAAAAGGAGATTAGAGGTAAAAATGCATCCTTTATAAATTGGAAGTCAACTCCTACTGAGAAAAATAAAGGAGCATGTTGAGCAAGTCAAATATAAAAATATAATTAGTCAACCCAAAAAAGAATTTTGAAGAGCAACTAGCAAACTACTCAAAAACTAACAGCAAAAAAATTAAGTAC